TCAACAGCTTGTTTAACTCGTGTTAAAAGATCAAACTCACTGTTTCTCTTGTCCTAAACTTGTTGGATATTAAAGACTCTCCTTGGGAAATGTTGACGAGTATGTCTTAACCTAGAAACATTCCTCCAAAACACACTCCTCTGCTATGCATATTTACAATTTGAAGACACTGTATATAGAGCATTCTTCAGAGGAAAGCTAAGGGACCTGCCTAGTTGCTTCCCCAACTGAACTGATCTCAGTACCATAAATAAGTTGGCCTTTCTCTTCCTCTGACAGAGTGTGTAACTGCAAGTGCCGAGTGTGACCAATTCGCATTCACATTCAATACAACAGCCTGCGTTTGAGCTAATTGGGAAAAGAAAGACAATTCTTCCTCAAACAAGAGAAGAGGCAGCGCACATGTGCACATGTAGCTCTTTAGTGGGATTACATAAAGCGCTGCATTAGCGAGACAGCCTTTCATGGTCTATTTAGTTGGTAACTGAGTGTCCCTCCAATGCATTTAAACGCAAGGTCTTAAGCTGAGCACCGACACACACAAACAAAAACTCAGATCAAAGTCGGGAAGATGCTTATACGGTACACATGTGACTTCTATCTGGCCCTGCCTTCATTGCTGCCATACTTACACACACACACACACACACACACTCGCTTGGATATAAACACACACCCTGAAATTGAAGCCAGAGATCTTTCCTAAAGCCGGGCTATACGAGGGAGGAAGTGAAGTCGTTCCACCGCTGTCAGAGAATACAAAAGGTGGAGGAACGCTTCTAGGGCAAGGAGGGGTGTCCAACTTCCTGCTGAGAGAAAGGAAATAAACACTTCCATATGCAATACCCTGCCAGAAACACACACACACACACACACACACACACACAAGTGCACACAGGGTTTAGAGCTTATGCAGGATAACAAAGTGTTGTAAATTCAAGCAGGATCTCTAGTTAGCAACGTTAGCAACACCATATTTTCTGCTTCCAGAAATTTATAGCAAGCAAGGCCTAGTTCATCACACCAGCTTGTTAATATAACGCAGCTTGGAAAGAATTGCACTCCTCCAAAGCGGTAGTTTCTCAATTCCTGATTGGTCTGACCGAGTCGACTATTGGTTTTTACGTGTAAAGGACTCAGGTTTCATGAGTGTGCGAGTGTGGTCACATGCAGCAAAATCCTGTTCACCCAGGCGAGCGACGGCACGGCACACCTCCTGCCTGAGGAGATCTGTAACTTTAGGGCCAACATGACATTTTTCATAAATCTACAAAAACACCCAGGTGGACATTCACACGTATTTGTGCTTGCTTGCAACAACACCTTGCACCTGAAATCACAAAATAACATGCCTGATCCTAAAACTTCATTTTACTAAAGAGCCTTTACCTCAAACATAGACAAAAACAATCAACCGTGAAAAGAGAGCACACGCATACATATCATAAAAAACGTTCCTGATCGAGAGCATGCCACTAATCTGCTCTCAATCTGAATCCTCTCTGTTGTGATTGTTTGTGTGCACATGCTGTTAGCGCATCACTGTGCGTGTTATCCACGACCATGGTGTCATACAGTGACAGCATTTGCACATGTGGAGCGCTAGGTCTTCCTCTTATAAAGATAATCCAACAAAGAACTTGTGCAGTTTATCAGATTGACGAGTCTTATCGTCTAAGTTTACGTTAGCAAACACTGCATATTGGCTTTGTTATTCCAGCACTCTTCTGTCTGATTATTGAACTGCATTAGCACCGGGTCAGTGGCTGCGTGTTTAAAAGGGTAAAGAGCGAGCGTGCATGTCTGTGTTCGTCTGTAATAGCCCTAATTACATAATCCAGTTATTTTCCCACAGCCTCCGCTCGATCGATACACAGTGAAATGGATTTATCGTAGCTTTGCCCCCCCTAGCAGGACACGGGGTGTGTGTGTCCTACTGTGAATATGTGTGTGTTTTACTTTTACACCGATACCCAAAGCAAACACTACAATCTCTGCAGCGGGACTGGTTAGAGCCTCTTATCAGCTCAGACTAGAAAAAGCCCCTGTTTGTGTTTGTGTGTGTGTGAGAGTGTGTGAGTGTGTGTGCTAACAGGTCTGAATAAACTGCTGAAGGTTCTGACCTAACACATATCAACACGTCTTCTTAAACAGCTGGCAGTGAACAGCAGCATATCCTTTGTGAATATCAGAGAGCTAAGATACTGCAGCAGCATTACCTCTCTGCACTTCCCACTTGATTAAAGTGAGAAAATGGCACAGGCTCTGGCTAGAATTAGGTCACTCTGATTTTACAGATGGCCCTTGTTGCCAAGCATATTTTCCCAATTAAGGCTGATTAGGGACGGGAAATTCCCAGACAGCGTGAATTATTAAAAACTTGAAATGGAATCTGATCATGTGACGTTGTATGCCGGTGACACCCGACATCCCCAGATGGATCCTGGAGAGAGAGAGAGAGAGAGAGAGAAAAGAAAGCAGGGGAGCAGCTCGCTTCGAGACTTCTGATTGGTTCAAAGTGAGAAGCGAGTTAAGTTTCCTGCTATTGTCTAAAGTCATTACGATCTGCAAAAAGAGGTGGAGGCTGCAAAATCAACACCGGCAGATGTTACATGAACTGAATTTTAAAATGATGAACACACACTGATGAGACTTCAAAACTATTAGCATGTGTGCAAAATAAAGTGACCAGAATCGCTTCCTGTTTACAAGTTCTAAAACAAAAAGGATTTACGAAATACTTGAAGATAAAGCACACAACTACAGGCAAAAGACACAGAACACATCCACATATTGGGACTCCTGCACTGAACCAGTGTTTCATCTTTCTCTGACGATTCAGAATAAACTGAAAACAAAGGAGAGGAATAGTTCATTCAGCTACTGAACATAAACAAACATGATTTTGTTTGGTTCCTCGTGTTCTCATCCTACCAACTATGAGACATTTTAAAGCAGTTCACTAGAGATGAAAATGTCTGCTATTAAAAAGGGCCTCATTAGTTATGTGACATCACATCATAACCAGAACAGCCCCGCCCACATCTTCCAATTAGACAACAAGTGGAAACACCTGCGTGCCGGGCCTTTAAACTTCAGTTTGTCATCACATTCTTTTTTTTTTTTGTTTTAAGTTTAAAAATCAAAAACTGTTTCAGACTATGTGACTATGACTAGATTTGTTTTTTAAACATATGTAGCTCACCTTAGCTACAGGAAACCATGAAGCGGAGACCTTTAACAACCAACCAAGAATTGCACTGAGTGATTGAACAGGAACCAATCAGTGATAGCCGCTTACAACATGTTGGTGTGTACACCTCAGAGCATGCAACGCCTCAGCCCTAGTGTCAACAAATCAAATAAAAAAAGAAAGATAGGGTTGTCCTCAGGTAGCCTATACCTCTGGTTATTGTCAGAGCTGGACCATTTCTTCCCAGTACCTCAACCAGAAAATTTAAATATTTGGTTGAAGGTTTTTGTCCTCCTCATACCCATCTTTTCAAGGGTTGACTTTGCTAAGAGACTGTATTGTACAAGGTAGTATAACAAAATCATCCTTGCAAGTGACAAAGTGACTGACTCCTCTCCTTAACATAATGCAGTGGCACATAATGTGTACTGCGGGTATATTCGGATGTTCATTTGTGCATAATGTAGCAGCCTTTAAAAAGCCTGGTGCCACTTCTGAACGGGCCTCGCCAATATAGCTGCCAGCGTTTCGCAGGTTATGAATATGTGAAATTGTCCTTGAAGACTTGCTGTTCTTTTTGTCTGTCTCTACATGGAGTCAGTGTGGCCCAGGCTGGCTCTGAGCATCCCTTCAGCGGTCTGCGTCTCCACGCTGGGAGCCTGTCACTGAGGCTCAGTGTCAAACAGCATGGCTGCACTGCTGAGTCAAGCTGACCATGAACGAGCCAAACCAGCCACACTGGCCTGATGTGCACGCTTATGTTCGGTGTCCTGATGTTCAAGCTAGGTGCTATGGGGACGTGGGGACTTTAATTTGCTTGTTATGAGCTTTGTGAAACTTCTAAATCAATTGGCCATTTACTTTTTGTAAACTGTTATTCAAATTAGAGTATCAGCTGGAAATTAATTTGCGGGATAAAGGGCATCTGTTTGGTTCTTTCAGGTGTTTTTTTTTTGTGAAATGCCATGCCAAAATGTATTATTAACAGTAACCCAACACTACTGTATGTGGAAAAGCTTCTTAACATTGGAGTTAATTTAAAGCATGAGGAAACAGAACTAAAGAGAAGGTGAATAAACCAGATGAGTGGGCCCTGTGGTGTTTCCATACACCTGACAGGTGGTCATTTCTCTGGAACAGACAAATATGTACACCAAACACCATTCAAAAACCAGTCCATTTAACGTCACGACTCCCTGAAGTTTGGTTACCAACTCTGCTTTTCCATAAACAAACATTGGTCCTGGCAGAAATCACTTTCTAATTGTAACTGTCGGATTATCAGCAAATCTCCTTGCTAGAAACAAAGGTAGTTTAGCCTAAAAGGTGTTTGTGTTTGTTTGTTTTAGCCTAATAGTTGTCGCCTACAATATGATGTAGCCCAGGGGTGGGCAACTGGCGGCCCCATCAACCCTCAATGTGGCCCTCATGTCAATCTTTACATATCAATTAATTGGAAACATTTAGAAAATGTGACAAAATCTGCCATGAAATCATGAAAACCAGAAATATGTCCATAATAATATTTCATCACTGGTATATGTTAAGTTTAATTTGAGACATAATTGATTGTAATTGGTTTTTTATAATACTATTTGGCCCTCTGGCAGGAAGAATTCAATGAATGTGGCCCTTGCTGTGACCAAAGTTGCCCATCCATGATGCCGAATAGGCCTAGGTACCTCCTTCAGTATCGATGTAAAATCGGCACACAAAACAATAACTCCAGTACATTGAAGGAAAACTTAGTAAGCTCAATAGACAGAAGTTAGAAGGGAGTTCGTGGGAGCCCTATTCCAGTCCTTACCTTGTCTGACAGTTTTCAACCTGACGGCCCCTTTGCAGTTCTTTATGACTGTCTGTATGTCGTACAAAGGTAATCCCGAAATCGATAGATTCTCCACTTCCAGCAGCAGTTCCCCTTCATTTAATTGTCCACTTTTGTAAACCACGAGATCCCCGCTAACTTGTCCAATGTAGGCGAACTCTCCATTCTCAGCCCCGCCGCGCAGCGACACGTTCAAGTCACCGCGGGCATCCTTAGAAACGGAGCACTCGTTTATTCTGGAGGTCCAGTGGTTCTTCTTCACCACTGGTTTGGACATTGTGGACAGTTTCTGAGCTGACACCAAAAAAAACAAACAAACAAAAAAAAAAACAGGCAGTGCTCTGCCACTGAGATGAGGAAAAACAGTAAAAGCAGCTCAAAAAGTAGATTTGAATCCGAGGGAGGCGCAGCAAACTTTCTTCCTCTTCAACAGGAACATGAGTGTGACAGTGTTTGTCCCACCGCTCTCCCGCGGTGACAAATCAAGCCATTCCTGTCGGCCCTGAAGTCACTCCTTACTTGGTGGATATTGTCTTCATTATTTTCTTAACATCCCTGCAGTTTAATCCCCTTTCATCGATGTCATCTCACATCCGCCACGGTCCCATTCACGTCTTGTGCCCACTTATTAAATCCTCTCAGCTGCTCCTCAAAACTCACTTTAAAAATGTTTTCCTGATGGCAACTTCTCCTTTTCTTTCGCCTTTTAATCGGATTTATCGGTTGTAGCCACCGTCCTCTGCTTGTTTTACCAGGTGCAACGCGCTCGTGTACTTAACTGGATCTCACTCCTACTCCGCGCTGGGAATGTGTTGCTGTTCGTGCTGCATTTACGTGCCATCGGAAACTTTTACGCTCAAATAGTCGAACCAACCTCAATGTGGGGAATACTTTATGTTACAAAATTGAATTCTTACTTAACAGAATTTTACATAACAATTACGGAAATACATTAGATAATTGTAGCTTTTTATAAAATAATTGCTTGTTGTGAGATTTAGGCTACACCAGGCTATTTTCTGGCCACATATATCAAGTCATTTGTGAAATGTAAAAGGGGATACACTTTTTTTTCTGTGATGAAAAACGTGACTTTTTTCATTCTTGACCTCAGACTCCCTAGTTGTAAACCGAATCCATGTTTGAAGTAGATCATTTTGTACAAGCCAATCAAATGTAGGCTACCCCCCACAGAATAATAATAACAACACGTACATTATTTTGTTATTTTAACAACGACAATAATTAATTACAGATGAATCAACTGAGAAATATATTCTAGTCACAAACACATGCGATTTTACTTGTAAAAAAAAAATTGTGCCAATGTGGCCCACATATTGGAAATCAATAGACTACACTATTTCTTTTTATAGATCAAATGACAAAATAATTAACAATAAACGTAAGTAGGCCAATTTATGAAATGTACAGTTTTTAGCACTATAATGTGTGGGCTGGAGACAATATTTTGCTTAAACAATCTGCAGACGGAGCCTACAAGGGGCACATGAATGCAGCAATATTACAATGAGCGCATGCGTGTTGATCAGGGCTGAAAGCATTATTGGCAGTTCTAAATTAAAGATAGGTCGCGTTGGGTTTAGCCCTAAACTATGTAAAACATTTGGATATTAAAAAGGTGATCCCATAAAAATTCAGTCAATGAGGAAAAAAAGTTTAGTCAAGGACATTGTCAGACTTTGCCTTTTGGAGAAAAATAATACTTGATTTTTGTCAAGAAATAACCTTTTTTGAGGTGGTACTGAATTCAGCTGTTAAATGAACGGACTTGATATGTTGATTCAGACTGAAATGTTCATTTGATAATGACCTAGTCTGTTATGCAGTGGTAACACCTGTGATCCTGCCTGTCAGGATTCCTACATTTCAGGTTAGACAGGTGGTACACCTTGTTTTGTGTGTGGGTGAAACCTCTTCTTTATCTTCAAACACTCCTAAGTGGGTGTTACACTGTAAGTGATTGTTTGTGCTTGACGCAGACATTTCTACAAAATTTATGAGATCCCTTACATCACAAACACATATTATAAATCAAACTTACTTACTTACTGGGAGAAGCAATTGCTCCATACCTTTCTTTTTTACAGCAATTTCAGACCAACACGACTGTTTGGCAACAATATTAGTGTCATTCTAAACTGTTATCATCATTACAATAACCTCCCATTCCTTCTTATGAATGATTTGTAAGTCAAGCAATGAATTACACACAAAATAAAATCAATAATCTGTAAAATATTTTTTGAATCATAGATATAATAAAAATAAGACAATATAAATGTAAAAATATAAATAAGCTAGATATGCACTGAGACAGCCAGAATGTATACAACTGCATGATGGGATCAGATGGGCCAGGCTTCACACCTAGGGAATAGCAGATGAGCTTTCCCGACCTAAAAATAACAGTGAAAGCACTCTGGGTCTCAGGGGAGTAAAAACCACTGGCCTGGATGAGACAGGAAATAGTAAGTGCACTTTCAAGCTGAAACTTACAACTTTCCCTCATGTTCATCCGTTATCGTGCCTTTCCATGAAATGCTTATGTAATTTGTCAGTTCATTTCAGTTTCCACCAAGAGAGGCAGCCAATTGATGAACAATAAACACCAATATAGAAAGCACTTAAAACACAGCACAACACCATTCATCATAAATTATGAACATCTTCACTCATCTGCAGAGCACCATTAAACTAAACAGCACTTCTAACTATTATGAAAAATGCAATAACCAAAAGCAGGTTATGATAGTGCAAGATACAAAATAGCTTTTTAGCTGTTGGAGTTATCCATCAGCAGGGGTGTTGCTTGTCAACAGGAAAGGCAGGCAACTGCATGGGGCCCCAGTCCAGTTGAGGGCTGACAAACTTTGGACCAAAGCAGAAACCCAAAATGTGCAAATTTTGCAATGACAGTAGGAAACCTCCCTGTAGGTATCCACTGAATGAAGCCGTAGCTTGACGCTCCCAAAACTCCTCTCTTGCGTAATTTTCATCCAAAAATCCACAGGACCACACGATCAAATTAAAGGTTTACTTAAACAAAAATAAACAAAAAAAACAGATACAGGTTAATCCACAACTATACAAAAAGAGAGAGGTCAAAAGACTGTGGCTCCACTCTCTACTAGTCTGAACTAAGCCCAATTAAGTACACAAGCCCCTCCCCCTCCCATATCCAATGAACAAAAATGATTACATGCATCCATACATTTAACATGATGAGCAATAAGGCTCCTACACTCCCCATGGGGGCCCCATCTGAGCGCATTGGTTGGTGTTGGTGGGCTGGTTTGCACCGTAATTGCACCGGGCTTTTTAAAGGCTGCTACATTATGCACAGATTAACATCAGAATATACCCGCAGAACACATTATGTGCCACTGCATTATGTTAAGGAGAGGAGTCAGTCACTTTGTCACTTACAAGGATGATTTTGTTATACTACCTTGTCTCTTAGCAAAGTCAACCCTTCAAAGCTTTTATTTAAACACATATAACAACATCTAATTAACATACATATTTTTTAAGCCGCTCATGGCCCCAATATGAGGCATCTGAGTGAATTTTGTGATTCTCTTATGTGTCCTTTAGTGCCACTATGAGGTTGATAATTGTTGTTTTAAACTAATTATTTGACTCAAAAACATTGTAGTTTAAGTGAGCCGTTCACTCTTCCTTTAGTGCATTAATAAGGTTAGAATTTGTATTGCTATGTTAACAAAAACCCACGAAGCCACTGACATTCCCATACAACCTTAGCTGTGCTTAGGATTCAGTGCTCATTAATAAATAAAGGAACTGGAGTGCTAACAGGCTACACTAAGATGGTGAACATTGCAAACATTACACCTGCTTTGCACTGCAGAGACACAGCCATAGCTGTAGGCTCCTTGTCTTGATTTTAGTTTTTTATAAAAGTGTCTGTCAAATAAATTTACTCCCAATGTCTCTGGTTTAATACACACACTTTTTTAAATGCTCCGTTTCCCATGTATGGATTAATACCAGCAATATATCAGCCTGAATTCCACTTTAAAAGGTTGGAGGGCTGTTAAGAAGTTAAGGGTAGATGCAGTGTAAGATGGAGACTTGAGTTGATGTGCGTGTACTTGTTTGTGCGTCTTTGAATATGTATATGTGCCAGTCACTTCCATCGTGACCTCCAATTGGGGATGGGGTTGCCCAGCTTCTCTGCCAGCTTCCTGTCACACAGTGTCACCCAAATTAGATCGACAGAGGCAAATGCACAGCCACGGGCCCAAAATTTCATATTCACTCCCCAACTAACCTCCAGTCTCTAATGTGTCAACATTTTTGTAAGCGTTTGCTGCCTCTCTATAATCCACTTTCTCTCTCTCTCTCTGTCTGTTATTCAATCTCTCTCAAATGTTGATCAATGTAACTACCTCTATGCATTCCAAAGGCATAAACAAGCCCAGACTCAGCATGCAATGTTATATAAGCAATACTTATATTCTACAAGTCCGTAATGCTTTAGGTAAGGGTGCGCAAATTATCATGAATGAATGCATGTAATCATGATAAAATATAAGGCACATGTATTAACAGTATACATCGATTACTGGATTCACTTTCAGTCATCATGAGTTAAGAATTATTAAGGAAATGTTCAATGTTCCTGATTTCTTCACAGGCAAGTCTTCAGTTTAAGGGACGAGACAAAAAACGGACCAAGTGTCATGGAGTCATGATTACGTTTCCATGATTTCATGTTTGAGGACCCTCAAATAAAGCGCAGCAATGATCTGTATTTTGGACTTTTAAATGACATAAAGTCAATGAAGGTTCAATTGTTTCAAAGTGTTGGAATCATGATAACTTCAGCATTACTTCTTCATCATCATGAGCATCCTTTAAAAGTCATGAGGATTGAAACACCTTAGTTAATGCATTAATTAATGTATGAAAATGCTGTTAATTCATGTGCATTAATTTTTCCTATATCTTTTTAACTTCATAATGTGTACATTAGCCAGCATCCTTAAAGGCTTTATATGCGATTTTTTGATCCAGCAGATGTCGCCCTTGAGAACCAGCATGAAACCAAAACAACTTGTGGTGCATTGTTGTGTTAGCATGCGAATGCTAGCGATCTTTATTATGCTCGTATCTTCACACTGCATGTCAATTTACATGAAATGACTGTGATCTAGAAACACAGTTAAGCAGTGAGTACAGTATGTTATTCTTCTTTGCTCTAGTCCCTCAATTAAACAACTTTTATATACGAGGGGAGGAGTCAGCCGGCCGTCCTGGCGATGTAAACAAACTGAAGATAGGACTCTGAAAACTCTGACAACATCACAGACAGTGGGACTCGGGTGTTACACTCATTGTAGACAGTCATGACTCAGAGTTATTTTCAGAGGATATACTTGATTTATATTATATTTAAGTGTGAAAAATCGCATATAAAGCCTTTAAGCTCCGTTTCGGTACCGTACCCATTAATTGACGTTTCCACTGTCAAAATATGGGAATGGTACCATCCTGCTTTTTTGGTACCCTTCTGTTGGGGTGCCAAGGGTACCGATCTGACCCTAAAGGGTCCCTTATTTTACTGTGTCCCGTTCTTCTTGAACGTTTAACTTAACCAATAGCGTGCTACACTTTGTTGGGTTGCTATGATGTCGCACTAATTACAGAGCTGACGGGGATATCTCTATCTGGCTTACATTCTGCTTTCTAAATAAGGGTACGGCTGGCTGTGGAAACTCAAGCAAGTTCAGGGTTTACCATACCAAACTGTACCAAACT